TCCCCCACCTGATGCGGAGAGCGCGCGCGGAACGTTGACTCGGCATCGCCCAATCGGAGACCGGTTCGTCGACTCTTCGGCCCGCTCTCTCGGGGTCGTTCTAATCTCGCAACGCCTGCTCCTCTCTCCTCCTCCTCCTCCTCCTCCTCCATCTCCTCCTCTTTAGAAAGAGAAAGAGAGAAGCCCGATAAGAGCTGCGATCTCCTCTCTCTCCACCCTAACAGCCTCTGCCAACCACCCACCTCTCCCTCCTATTTTTCTCTCTCTTTCTCCCCCTCCCCTTCCTCTAACTCCTATACCTTCTCCTCCTCCTCTACCTCCTCCTATTTCCCCTTGTTCACCTCCTCGCGGCACTCTCGCTCGCTCTAGCACGCCAAGGTGAATAACCTCGAATCGTGTCGGGTCCTCTCTTATCACACGTTCGAGCTTCGACGCTTATCGTCGTAGCAAGTGTGTAGTATCTCTCTCTCTCTCTCTCTCTCTCTCTCTCTCTCTCTCTCTCTCTCTCTCTCTCACTTTTTCTCTCTCTTTTTCTCTCTCTCGTGGTATTCTGTTCTTCTTCCGCTGTAGCGGAAAATGAAACGATCGAGAAGTTTTCCTTCTCTACCTAAAGGCAACCCTGACGGAAAGCAGAAAAGAATAAAAGAAGCAACTCTTCTTACAATTTTTAATCTTTTCCCTTTTTGTTTCGATCAGATGAACTATCGGAGAACATTGTTATGATATATATATATATATATATATATATATATATTATTTATTGATTTTATCTTACATATACGTATAACAATAACAAAACAAAATTATAACTTTAGATAAATTTATAAAGAAAGTAATGGATGATGTCGATTCATTAATTTATATAAACTCTCTGTTCTCGTGAAACGAAGATCTGTATGGATCTATCATGATCAATAATTATACGATCTCTATGAAAATTATTTTTTAATCTTTGAAAATTATTCGAAATTAAAACTAATTAATTAATTCTCTTAACGTACGAAAGGAAATAGAACGATGATGATGATGATGATGATGATGATGATAATCATGATGATGATGATTATGAAAAGAGAGTGAGATTCGCTTTTTTCCTGATCACGCGAGACTTCAGCGAGCGAGAGTTCTCTTTCTCTCATAAGACAGGACTATCTCTCGAAACTTTCACTTTTATTCAAGGCATGTAAGAGCCCATCCTCCTTTCGATGGAACGGATGAGTCAAATGCGTTCGAGCACGGTCCGGTCCATCCTATCCCTCTCTCTTTCTGCTGGTTTGGTATCTTCTTCTTCCTTCTTTTTTTTTTCTTTTCTTTTTTTTTTCTTTTCTTCTTCTTCTTCTTCTTCTTCCTCTTCTTTTTCTTCTTTATCTCTTTCTACTCGTCTTTGAAACGCTCGAATTTCCTATCGAGTCACGGTCCAACGGGAAGAAAGTAAGAGTGGTCCGGGTAGGAAGTTGAGCCAAAGGCAGCTCGTCCGGATGCCAATGAAAGGGAAACACTTGCACGATCTCTCTTTCTTCTTAGCCCAGTCCCTATATTTCTTTCTCTCTCTCTCTCTCTCTCTCTCTCTCTCTCTCTCTCTCTCTCTCTCTCTATCTATCTATCTCTCTATCTCTGTCTTTATATCTATTCTGTTCATTTATCTTTCTCTTTCACTTCACTGTTCGCTTCATTTATCGATTATATTAATCTCATATGAATATATATTTTAATTTTTTGATTACTTAGCCAATAGTTTTATTATTATTATTATTATTATTATTATTATTATTATTATTATTATTATTAATATTATTATTATTATTATTATTATTAGTAGTAGTAGTAGTAGTAGTAGTAGTAGTAGTAATATATTACTTCAATGATTTTTTAACGATAACGATTATTTCTTTTCCTGCGTTCTATATTTCTTTTCTTTTTTCGCATCAGTAAAGCTTCCCTCTATTAATATCACTCTATCTTTTCTTTATCCTAGTCGATATATCTCTTGATCCGCTAATACGTATTATATCGGTATCTTAGTCTCTTAGTCAGTGACACTTGACAAGTTCCATCTAATACCACTCGAAATCCAATTTAGAATTCATTACGTTAAAGCTTCATAAGAGTTTATGACTTTCACTTCCACGTTCTTACGTAGACGAATAATAATAATTAAAAAAAAAAAAAAAAAAAAAAAAAGAAAGAAAAATAGAAAAACAAAATGCCGAAAAAAGAAAAGAAAAAAAAATTTCATTAACGTCGGACAGGAGCGTTAAAATGGAAAATTTCGAAGAAATTGTTAGCAGGTGAAAAAGGGGATGAAGAAAAAAGTAGTAGATAAAGTATAAAGTTTATATGTATGTATCTATATATATATATATATGTGTGTGTGTGTGTGTGTGTATACATATTTAAAAGAATTCATTTTGTGCTCGAAGATTATCGAGAGAGACGATTAGATAGATGTACGCGTACGCGTGCGCGCGCGCGCGCGTGTGTGTGTGTGTGTGTGTGTGTA